TTAAGCACATGTGTATTTACTTAGTTGCAGCATTAAAGACATTGCTTATAATATTAGCTCCTAATCGCAGTGAAAAAAACTGCTTATTGATTTACACTTTTAAATAATCAAAATGTTATTATTTGTGATAAGATATAGAATAAATTGTGTTTGGGCTGAAATAATTGAAAAGTAAATGAAATAGTTTGAAAAATTAGTCTCTGTAAAACATTCCAGATCAAATTATGGTTAAAAGTATCGGTATTTAGGGTGCCGATACTTTTTACTTTTACCGGAGCATGTTACGGAGCAAAAAATCTGATATACCGTAATTTTTACAGTAATAATTATAATAAAATCCCTGAATCAATCTAATTAAATAAAGAATAATGGGAAAAGTACGGCATAATATTTTACTGTAAAAATGGATTTTACGAATAATGTACCCAAAGTGCCAGTACTTTATACCGTAATTCGATTCAGGATTTGTACGGTGTATTTGCCATTTATTCGAAGAAAAAGCACTTTTTAGTGTAGAAAATAAGTCTTTTATTTAACAATAAACAACTGAGTATTTCAGCAAATTTTTTTATTCTGATTTAATTTTAAATACTATTAAATTTTGGTGTAAGCCGGAATAAATGTATCGTAATAAATTGCGCGGTAATCTTTACATAACTAAACATTTGAATTTCAAAAGAATGTCATAGAGTTTGCATTTGCAATGCTAAATAATTATTTCTCTGTAGCTTTTTCATAAAAGTAAAATTCTTCCTTTAATGCCAGAGATTTTACTCGGTAATTTGTAGTATATTTTTTTATACAAATAAATAAATAAAAATAAAAGCGAATTGAATTCCATCATACTTTTTCTCCAATTTGATAACAAATAATGATGGCAAATGAATACTTCAGAGCAATATGGAAATATGACATGAAAAAAAACAAAGAATCGCTACATTGCAACGAATAAATCTTACAAAAACCTTTACAGTAGCAATGATAACATCAACGCTCCAGTTAATATTTACGATACATAACACTGTAAGGTAACGGCAATACTTACAGTATCGTTATATGTAAAGATTTTTAGTAACTAGCAAAAAATGCAAACAAAAGTAATACTTATTTTCAAGAAAGCAGAGCGCATAAGACTAAGCACTTTTTGTTTTCTACTTCTCGTTACATGCTTTTACATACATTTTAGAAAAGTAACATAATTTTTACTTTTTCGTTACATGTAACAAAAGTACAGGGTTACAAAACCCACATTTAATTGTGATTTCTTAAACGTTTAAATATAAATTCTGCATTTATTTATTATGAGTAGTCTCAGTGCTATATGGTAGTCTCAATGCTCAGTTCTATAGATATATGGTCATATATTTTTCATTAAAGAGGGCAAAAGTCGCTGAGTCTAGCACTAATTTATTATAAGTTTATTTAAAGATACATAGAAAACTTAAATATTCTAATGATTAAAGTATTAAATAGAATGTCTTAATTAATAACAATCAACTAATTATTGTTATCTTGATAAAATGTGAAAGACGTATCATAAAATGCGAATGTATTTCATACTTTCAACTCGTAAACCATGTGAATAAAATAAATGTAATTACAGATTTATATACTATTAATTATATTCCCTTATATTAATTATTTCTTAATTTATTATATTCTTTTCCATTAATCTTTTCTTTATTTATTATATTCCTTTCTATTATATATAAATTTAAATTCTTTTACAAACCCAATATAAAATTCTATTACACCCTTACCCCCTATACGCCTTTAAAATACTGAAATCTTTTTTTATCAATAAAATGATAGATTTAGAAAAGCTTATAATGATAAATATTTTGCAAATAAACAAATGATTTTCTTTCTTAATCAAAAGAAACAAGCATCTTAAGCGTAATATGAAGTATTTCTGGTAATTGCTAGTAAAAAGTAGGGGCAGTCATAAAAATTATAGATTCAGTAAAATGTTTTTGTATCGCGATAAGATCTTGATGATAAGACTTTCTTATTTTCGTAGCAGAGAATTTTTCATGAGAGAATATGATAACTTTCCTTATTTGAAGAGAGGTGTACAAGGAGGCTATAAAACAAGATTCCCCCCAAACTGAATGTTTAGACAGAAAGATAATAGAAGTTTACTTCGGCATATAAAATAATTTAATTAAATTATTAAAAGAATTTCTAGAGAAAAGTGAGTGTAATATTTTCCTTTTATTTTAAAAATCCTTATTATTAGTATCGTTCATAAATTTGATTTTGAAAAAAATGAATATTTACGTTAGTATTAAGAAATTGATTTACTTAAAAAAAATTTTTTTAAAGTGTTTCAGATTTAAGTCATGTATAGTGTATCAATTTAATTTAAATATCAAATATTATTGCTTAATAAGATTATTTTTACTATGGTTTTTCTAATTTTTCTTAAATTTGTGCATGGAAAAAATTTTCTTAACAAAGAAAACTAACAATTAAATAACAGAAAGTAGGGGCAGTGTTAGTTTTCTTTGTTAAGAAAATTTTTCTGTTTTTTTTTATTGTAAATTAAACTGTAAATTAAACTTCAGTAAAAATTATTGAACTTTTTGGTGCTTCCATTGACCCAGAAATACCGTAAATTTTACCATGTTCTGGTAGTTTTGACCATACATTTTTCTCAATGAGATAGACTATTAAAAAAGTTATATTGCAATAAAGAAAATCAGAAAAATTTTCAGAACAAAATAACTAACAATTAAATAACAGAAAATAGGGACAGTGTTAGTTATTTTGTTCTGAAAATTTTTCTGATTTTTTTTATTGCAATATAACTTTTTTAATAGTCTATCTCATTGAGAAAAATGTATGGTCAAAACTACCAGAACATGGTAAAATTTACGGTATTTCTGGGTCAATGGAAGCACCAAAAAGTTCAATAATTTTTACTGAAGCGCTTTATTAATAATTTTAGATTATTTTATACATGCAATAAAATTTTAAAGTTTTATCATGACACCTTACAACTTATGGCATAAATAACATTTATGCTGTAAATTTTTTTGTGCATTTTTTTTCTAAAAATTAAAATTAGAAAACAAAATTATATATTTTATACTTCTTTGCTTCTTGGTTGTATTTTTTTTAATAAATGTGTGGTAATAAAAACTATAATTTTGAAAACCTGTATTTCAAATAAACTTTTAATAGGTAAATTGGAAATCGGTAATTAAATTGGTAAATTGATAATTGGTAATTCAATTACCGTATATTTCGGTTTATTAACCAGACTTATGGTTTTTTAGACCAAAAAGGCCATAACCATTCAGTATAATAACTAAACCTGGATTTTTTTTCTCATCTGATGTTAGGTAAAAGTGAAAGTATCGAAAAATATAAAATGCCTTATTTTTTTAAATGAAAGCTACTTTATAGTATTAAGTTATGTTCTCAATTAAGCTGTTTTTAAAAGACGTATTTTTATGATTATGTGAAACTTAGAAATTGTGGTAATATTTTAAGACGTTTAAGTGAAAGTAATAAAATTTTAAAAGCTTCACAATGTATATGCTACAATGAATCCACGGTTGTCTACATTCTCTGTAATGGACGAAATGGTAGCTCCGGGATTCGTTTCCCGATGAAGTGACACAGGTTTGTATCCCAGTGGAGGCTTGTTGATGTGATTTCTGATCCCGGTTCGTACCAACCGGACGTAAAATATCTTTAATGATTTACAGATCAAGGGTTCGAATCCCTTTTTCCGTCGTGCGTTTCATGGTTTTCCCCTCCATGCAACTCAAATGCAAATTGCTTACATCAAAAAGCCCTACGCGAAGGCTAGTTTGTCTCAATCCTTGATTCATGCGCTTTCTTGTCTTCCGGGTTGAATTCAAAACTGAAAGGCTACGAAGCTGAACATTGATAACTCAATAGTTGGGTCGGCTTTTCACCGCCGGTTATAAAATAAAACGAATTTGTTGCTTTTAGGTTAACTGTTTTATTTGAAATATAAAGTAATAAGTTTTTACCAGAAATAAATTGACGAACATTTCAAAAAAATTGCTAACAGAAGATGCACATTATCGAAATGAAGTAATAAGAACGAAAAAAAACTTTAATCTTTAATATATGACTGATAGCCATAGACGAACGTTTGCTGCAACGTGTTTCTGAATGTACCTCACTTGTTATATACCATGTAAATAAATATAAAATGTTTTTTATTAGAATGAACCCTATATTGCTAAAAAAAGTTTTTGTTTACAAAATCGGGCACTTTCACTATAAAATAAAGCAATGATTTAAAATGATATACTCGTTAAAACATTGATTTCTCAATATTATAAACACGCGACAGCTCATAACTCTGTCTACATCTGATGAATCAAATTTAACTTAAATCTGCTGATTTAGACAGATGTAATCTAAATCTGATGAAATCTGTCTGACCTATTCTATAGTTTTATCAGTTCTGTTTACCAACTTAAAATAACGAGAATTACTTCTGGTAGTAAAAGTACATTCATTATAGAAATTCAAGATACATATTTAACATATTTTCGTTCATAAAACAGCATCTAATGATGTCTGCAAAAGGAAAAATAAATTTGCATGAAGAACTAGACATTTAATGATAGGGGAGAAAAATAAATTTTTCAGAACAAGTTAAAAGTTACTAAATCAAGGAAAAGTGTTTTATTTGTCAATAAAGTTCAATTTAATATTTTTTAAGTATCCAAGGTAAATCTAACTTTCCTTTACTGCTTAAATACAAGCTTATTTTTAATAAATGTAACTTCTTTACTAGCCAACCAGACATCGATATTTTCAATCTTGAGTTATTTCAATTAAAAATGACGTCAAATAAAATTATTTCAAACATAACTAAATGAAAGGGGGGGGGGAAACCTGACTGTAAAAAAATTATGACGGCGTAATACAAAAAAATTAGATATACGATATGCGTATATTGCTAAGACAATAAGAATATCTCTTAGTTGGAAAGTGCTCCTTACTTATTGAATACTCTTTTTACAGGCTAAGATTGTTCTTTAAAAAAACAGTAACTAAACTAAACCAGCAAATAAGACTATTCTAAAAAAGATTATTTTCAAGGCAAAGTTAGTAACTGTCCAAGAGTGTCAATTTCTAAGAATGTCATTAAGAAAAAAATGCTAAAAATGATTTCAAAGAAAGTTATGGAAAAGAAATTAAGTACTCCTACAAAAAAGGTATGATGAACAGTGTTAACGATCTATTTTGATGATATTGTGTGTTATATGTTTCTAAAGTATACACCAAATTTTAAAAGATTTTTGAGGGGAAAAAAAGATTATTTATTGAAATATAAATATAAAACATGGATATAAAATTACTTAACTAAGCAGTTCAACATTCATTTTTATTTATTGATTAGGATTTTTATTGAAAGGATAATGTTCAAGTTATTGTTTTTCTATTATTGAAATGATGATGTTTAAATTAATGAAAGGATGATGTTCAAATTATTGGTTTTCAATTTTCAAAAGAAATATTTTAAAATTATTGGTTTTCAATTATTGAAAGAATGATTTTTAAATCTATGGTTTTCAATTAGTTAGGTTTTCAATCAGTTAAAGAATTATTTTAAAATTATTGGTTTTCAATTATTAAAAGAATGGTTTTCAATAATTGAAAGAACAATTTTCAAATTAATAATTTTTAATTATTGAAGGGATATTATCAAATTAGGTGTTTTTAATTATTAAAAGGAGGATTTTCAAATTATTTGTTTTCAATTATTGAAAGGATAATTTTCAAATTATTGCTTTTAGTTATTGAAAGGATGATTTTCTACTTATTGTTTTTAATTTGTTGAAAGGATGATTTTCTAATTATTTGTTTTCAATTATTGAAAAAATTATGTTTAAGTTATAGGCTTTTTTAATACTGAAAGGACGATTTAAAAATTATTGGTTTTTAATTATTGGAAAAAAGATTTTTAAATAACTAATTTTACATTATTGGGTGGATAAAAAGGTGATGATTTAAAATTGTTTATTGACAGTAAAATTGTTTTACTTATTTTCAGACGATGGGGTTGAAGAGTTCTGATGATTCCAGGCCTACGACATGGCTTGATGAAATCCCTGATGAAGAAAAAGACGCAATAAAAGAGGTGAATATATTATTGTTAAATATTAAACAAAAAATATCAAAATTTTAATTGAAAACATTAGTAATTAGCATAATTTAATTCGGTAAAAAATAATGTTATTTTATGAAATAAAATATTTAAATATTGCTCCTGAGCAATACGGTTTTAGCAACAAAAAATAACGTAGTTTAAATAAATTTCACTTGATTTTGTCTTCCCGTTAGATATAAATAACCATATGAAATTTATCGGGATTTAATTATTTTTAAAAATCATAATTCTTCTTGTTTATTTTAGTTAAAAGCACGTACTTTAACTGAAGTATCTGATAAGATGTTGGAGGATCCAAGTTTATTTTATCGCTTTTTGAAAGGTAAGCACTTAATATTTTTTTTGAATGGTAAGCACTTAAACTCTTTTTTCACTGTTAGAAAATTTTCGGAAAAAATGGCTAAATAACAATTTATTTAATTGTTGTTTTACCATATTTAAACAAAACAGTAAAATAACCATAAATAAGATGGTAATGAAACTATTAACAGTGAGAAAAATCATTTATTAACTATTTTTTTAACCTAAAATGGTTAAATAACAGGAATTTTCTCGCACCAATTAAGCCCACTTGGTGAAGAAATTTAGTTCCTTGCGTACATATTATAGCCTAGAGCAGGGGTGGCGAACCTTTATACACCAGCCTTGATGAGGTCATAGACGTGCCGTCAAATAATTTTGACTATTGGGAAAATATTTATACTAAATACTATCAACTCAAAACTCATTATTTACATTGAAAAAAAAATTTGCATTGTCTCAGCTATACGCGTAATTCAACTTAAAGTAACATCAGTGTGACTTCTGTTGTTGCAGATTAGATGACAAATAACTTATATTAGGTTGTAAGATGTTAGTTTAAGCAGGACTGTTAATTTGTTTGCTAGTTATTTATTGAGAGCTTTTTTTTTATGGTTATTAATTGTTTTTTTTAGCATTAATTGTTAATTTTTTATTAATAATTGTTTATTATTTTGTGTGTTTTTTGTGAATTTTAATTTAATTGTTACATATACTTCATAGTGTAATACCATTTGTGTAATAACAAATGTGATCGGTGGCGTGCCCGAAATAATGTGTCGGGTGCCATAATTGGCTCGCGTGCCATTGGTTCGCCATTCCTGGCCTAGAGAGCTAATCTGTCAATCTCATGACCGACAGAACGGGGATTTGAGTTCGAGCGTTGGCACATCCATTCTCTTTAACCCACATGAAGAATTTTAAGTGTCCGGCATTCTTCAATGTCCATTATTTAAGGAGAAGCCTAACTCCTACGTCCAGTTAAATTTTTTTTTCTATGGTTTTGAAACCTTGGAATGATTAAAATGATTAAAAAACCGTATAGTTTTGTGTCCTTAATTTTATAACCATACAAGTTGTAAACGGTTTCAAAATCATAAAGGTGAAAAATATTGCGCGCGTTAAAATTTAAGGTTAATCGGATAGACAGACCGCTGCCGGTTATTTTACCATAATTATTACCCAAGATATCTCCGAAATTAATAAGAAACATTCAAACTTGCACTTAATTAGACTAAAATATTAACTTTCGATTCGTTACAAGAACGCAGCGAAATGTTCATACGGAAATATTGTATTCCATTTTCATTGCCGAAATTAAACTTTTAAAATGCAAATGTATCGAAAACCGATACAAAATTAACATTTCACTTACTGATATTAAATATAAAAATATTTTATTTCTACTCATTGATAAGATTGAATTTTAAAGGCAAATGCGTCGGTAACCAAAACATGGATAAATATTTTCCCATACAGATATTATGTAAGAAAATATTTTATTCCTATTCATTGCTAAAATTTAAAAACTATGAATTAAATGCTTAAATCATAGATGATATTTTTCAATCAACAATAATTTCATTTCCCAATTTTATTTAAAGCTAGAGATTTCAACATGAAGAATGCTGAATCTATGTTGAGAAAAGTAAGTGTGTAAGTAAAGTAAGTAATAACGGAATTATTAATAAAAAATTTCAATTTCAAAATATATTAATGATTTCTAATTATGTTTTCACTTATCAATTGTCCTGGCTCCGCTAATGTGTTTTAATTCAGTCTGTTTAACTTAATGTCACTGATAAACAGTAACTAAAACTAGAAACGGATATTATTATTAATGTTAGATTTTAGTTATCTATTACTTATAGTTAATTATAATGATAATTATAAAGTTCGTAATTATTAGTAATCTTTAATAATAACTAATAATAATTATTAATAATTATTAACTTCATGTGTAAATATTATCAAAAGTCATTGTTACTACTTTAACCAAATTATGTAATGAAATAATTACTGTCCCATATGAATAGAATAAATACTTTATGTTTTTATTTTATTAAATAAAATTTGAAACATTTATTCCTCTTTATTGAACAGAACTAAATGTAACTCACTTAAAATGCATTCATTTATATTATATTTATATCAAATTGCATGACAAAAAGAATTAAAATCACAAATTTTCTTGTTAGATCAGAAATTGAATAAAATACAAGAAAATTATGTTTTTCACCCTATTTTTCAAAAAAGATATTTTAAGCCACTTATTTTTTTATGTATTTATTTATGCAAAGTATCCGTATAAAATTTAGAAAACTATATACAAAAATAAGGTCTATAATATCGTTATTTCATAAACTAAATATATTTTTGTTTGCTGTTTTTCTATGAAATAAGTAATTTAATAATTAAATAATTTACGTATAAAAATTATAATTTAACAATAATTTAATTATAAAAATTATAATTTAATTATAAACATCATAATTTAATTACAAACATCATAATTTAATTATAAACATCATAATTTAATTATTATTTAATAATAAAAATAAATTTAAATGATTTAAAATTTGCATTTAACCTTTTAACCTATTAACTCGTGTACTAATTAATTTCTTTTTTACATTTCTCATAGTAAAACGAAAATTTCCACATTCACGAAAACATATGAACAGTATATTATCCAAAATTATGTTTTATTTTTAAAAATCGAAAGCGATATTTACATTAGAAAATATTAATTTAATTTAAACTCTAGTATATATGATTTTACAAATGTATGATTTTAGCACATTTCATGGAGGAAGGAGTACAATATAGATACTATCCTGACTGACTATCAACTTCCCGAAGTAAGTAAATTTTTAATCAAACATGAGAATTTAAAATTAGATAAATCACAGTAAAATGATAAAAATGTAAAATAAATAAATAAAAAAATAAGGAATACTTCACACAAAAAAGTTGTACTATTTTGTAAGCACTGTCTTATACGTGAATATAAAAGCTGCATAATTTCGAAATCATTTAGTCTGACAATTTCAATTTTTGTAACCTTACTTTGCATGTTCCTAACTTTGCAAGACAAATTGTTCATTTTTTTAAACAAAACTCAGAATCCCGTGGAATTCAAATGCTTTTTTTGGCATTAACTCGCGCATTGTATGCAATAAAAAGTAACTAAATCAAAAGTAACTTAAGTAACTAGCGTTGGTTGCCCTCACAAGGTTTATAATAGAGATAATTCTGACTGAAAAGACAAAAGCTATATTCTTTAATTTTAACTCTAGAATCTTTTTAAGTAGGTATAAAAGGGAATCGAAATAATCAAATCAAAATAAATAAAGCGTCAATTAATTAAATTTAATTAAATTATAATTAATATAAGGGTTAATAATTATGTTTAACCAATATTCTCAATAATCAAATCAAATCAAATCCTGCCAATAATCAAACCAAAATCAATTTTAAGATAAAATGTAATGTTAACTGTTTATTCATATTGTTTATCGATGTATTTTCAAAAATAACCTATAGGATCAAGAATTATAATTATACAAAATTATCTGTGGCTTTTTATAGGTTCTTGCGATGTATGCACCAATAAATGTGATTGGTCAAGATAAGGATGGTTGTCCAGTAATCTATTCCGGGCTTGGAAAGGCAGACGATAAAGGCCAGTAAAATATTTAAATTTGTCTGATCTAATCAAAGTAAAATTATAGATTACATCATTTTTGGTACTGATTATTAATTTAAGGTACCCGACTGAGTGAAAATCGGCAATTTTGGCGAAAATTTCGTTCTTTTATTATTATTTTCACCCATATTTGATCGTTAGTTCAATAGCTTTCTAAAACACTTAAATTTTTGTTCTCCGACTTTTAGAAATAAAACTATTGTAAAACGGTAGTAAATTACAAATTACGAAACCGGAAGTAAATTCCCAAAACCGAAACTGATTTTTTTTCTTATGTTCCAGCATTTTAATCTTTTCTTAATTTGAAAATCAATATTTTTAAAGCAAAAAAATTAATCTTCAGTAATCAATTTTCGAATTATAAATTTTTCCTTGCATTCTAAATGCCTTTTCTAATGAATATTGATTTTGAGAAAATGTGATTCTTACACATTGCAAAAGAAAGTTTATTTTAGAATTCTTTGAAATTTCATATGCAGATTTAGAATAATGTTAGTAATGTGTTGAAATAAAATTTAAGGTTTAACTATGAATTTATTATTTTTATTCAAGCTTTAAGTACAAATATTTAAAAAATTTCTTTAAAAAACCAATATTTAACAATATATTTGGTACTATTTTATTGGTTTTTTAAAAAAAAAAATTTAAGATTTTGGTTCAAAACACTATCACATTATTAATCCAAAAAAAAAAAATATTTCGAAATTTATGCATTACAATTTGTTGCAAAGTTGTTAGCGTGACATGAACAATTTGTTGTCAAATTTGAATTTATTTGGAAAAATGTCTTATGAATTTGCAAATTTAAATTTATAATTTTATGACCCCAAATTAGTAAAAATAATACATTTAAACCCTTGTATTAAAAAGTAATTTTGTGAAAACCAGTCGGATACCTTATTATTATCCATTAATTTTATTTAAATTTTATTAAATTGCTGATTATTTCAAGTAAATTCAAAGTAAAAACAAGGTTATGTAACTTATTAATAGTAGGGGAGAGTGGGGTCAATTGTAAAATTTTTTGCTTAACTATTTTTAAGTAACAAAAACTCCAGTATATTATTAGTATTAATTGACAGACGAGTAAAGTAGACTATCCTCTACTAGAAAAAAAATAAATACCTGATTTTAAATATTATTATATTAGTTATTAACAATTTTTGACAGTCGTGCACTTGTTACAATTGTCCCCACTTACGGGGTCAATTGTAACAGTTCATAAATTCAACTAAAACATAGTTAATTATACATATTATCATAGTTGTGATATATTTTTTTATTGATCAAAATAGTAGTGATATTTTAGGAGTAAAAATAATAATGAGCAGAGACCTAAAGGGTTAAACTTTTAACTTTAAGGGGTTAAAAATTTTAATTTATGCTGTGAAAGGTGACAAATAAAATAATGCACATGCAACATAATATAAATGATATAGGAAACTATTGGTGGTTCTTAAAGAGTTAAGTAATGGTTTGTAAACATAAGATTATTTATTTTCAGCTGTTACAATCGTCCCTTTACTTATTGTTACAATTGTCCCCAAGACGCCATTTCAGCTTCATTTGTTAAAAACAATGCTAGTTAATTAGCAAAACTAATCTTTTTTTTTATTGAAATGTTAATTAAGGTGTCCACTTACATATTCGGTTAATAATTTTTATTTGTTTAAACAAAATTACTTTGTTACAATATAATATTCTAATACCAAAAAAAGTACTTACGTAGCGTGAAAATATCTTTTGTGATATAACTCTTTCAAAAGAACATAAAAATGGTTGCCAGCAGGGGTGTACATGTAGATTTATTAAATACACCTTGTGCGCCACGTAGGAACCGAATCTAGAACCCGACACTCGAAATATTTGCTCTGTTACAATCGTACCCTGTTACAATTGACCCCACTCTCCCCTACTTATAGTTTGCAATTTAGCGGAAATTTCTTACAAGATCTATTACATAATATTTTTAAAAGTAAAACTGTTATAAGCTATCGGTAGAATGAGCTGAAACCTATTTCATCTGAAATTCCGCATCATAGAAATTATTGGAATTGTGCTTTGAAGACATTTGAGCACAACGAATTATTCTACAGTTACAAAAATTAGAAAAACAGCCAGATATTTAAGTCATTACGCACTGTTAGAAATTTCCCTGAAAAAATGGGTAAATGACAATTTATTGAATGATTATTTTACCATATTTAATCGAAACAGTCAAATAACCATAAATAAAATGGTAGTCAAACTGTTAAATTTGAGAAAAACTGTTTATTAACTGCTTTCAACGGTATAACAACCACAATTTTGAGGCACCAACTAGAACGACCTAATGAATCTACTTAGTTGTTTGCAAAAGCGCACATATCAAAGCCGAGCGGGCTTATCTGTCAATCTCATGACCGGCAGAACTTGAGTTCGAGTCCTAGTGTTGACATCACAATATTTCCCCACATAAACATTCAACACATAAAGATTTTCCAATGTCCGGCACTCTCCAATGCCCATTACCTTACGAAAAGCCGAGCTCCTATATCTAGTTATATAATAATTTTTTTTTTTACGTTTTTGAAAAATGCTAGTTGTAAATGGTTAAAAAACCGTGAAGTTTTGTTTTCATGGTTTTATAACCATACTTTTTATAAATTGTTTCAAAGCCATAAAGGAAAAAAAAAATTCTTTATGGTAAACTTAACGGTTAATCGGATGGACAGACAGCTGCCAGTTATTTTACCATAATTTTAGAATGAAAATTTTAACAGTGTGATGACGAACATTATTTTATGAATTTAAGACAGTATTACAATTACTCAAAAAATATTGATTACTCCTTTTCTAATAAAAGAACAACATATATTTGGTTCATAATGCCTACTCAAAAATAACTCAAATATATTTTAGCTTATTTTATACTTATTATGCGTACATGGAACTTTTCTGAAAATGAATCGCAATAAATGCTTCTATACAGCATTACCGAGTATTTCTTGCCTGATTTTATCTGAAAGATTTGAATGAAAAGAAAAAAAATTAGAAGACGTAGAAATCACGGAAATCATTTGGTATCCGTTCGAACAGTAAAAGTTCATTCCAAAATGGAGAAATAAAATCTTTTTTTCAATAATCATTTGCGAATCCGATAATAAAATAAAATTAATAGAATAAACATAATGATAAGAAAGGAGACTTATGTTAATAAATCGCATATTATTTACGAGGAAAATATATCGTGAATTGTTTTATATATTTTGTGATCCAATTTTCTTTTTTCAAATTGTATTGAAATTTTAAAATAAAAAAAAAATTTAAGCGAGATTAATTGTGAGATAAAATATTTCAAACGTTTTAAAATCTAAGTTTATAGCTAGCTTACAAATATTATAAGCTTTAAGTTTGCTATCTTGCTATCTGAATGCTAACATGTAGCGGATTTAAAAATGATCAAAATTTTTTAAATTTTTAAAAGAAATTAAGATTTTTTGAAAAAATGACCCATCTGGCAAAATGTTTCAGCCTAGATAAAAATTATTTCGATTCTTTTAAAATTTTTATAATCCTAAATAATGCATTTTAAAAATTTTCCAAAAAATTAATAAAAAACTACAACAATATTGTATTTTTTTTATTTAATTGTTTGTTAACTGATCTATCCACATGCATTTTTGGATTAGAGGGCAATGCTTCAAGAGGGGTAAAATCCAAAACTTGAGCAACAATAAATAAGAAGAGTCAATGAGCAACCCTTAACATAGTTTTACGAAGCTCTGTCGCCAAGGAAAATAAAAAAAGTCACAGTTTAAGTGCCTTTTACTTGAAGCAAAACGATTATTTCAAACTTTATGTATCATCTTGTTGCGAAGAATTATCTGGGCTTTAGAACGGATAAATAATTAAAAGACAAAAAGGTTATTAAATGTCAAAAAACTTTTCCTTTTAAAGGTTTTTAAACTTTTTCACGATTCACCAATTTTGCCACATTTTCTCACCTAGAAGAAAATTATCAAAATCTCTACTCTATTATCAGTTTCTGCAAATTTTCCTGGGTCCAGGTAATGCAGCCTTGGAGTAAGTTTTTAAACATTAAAAAATTCGATCAGAAATGCCATTTTCAAAATAAGTATGAATAGCGCTAGCTTTAGATAGGCTAAACTTGTCCTAACAATCATGATCTATCCTATGTTGAAAACTCACTAAAGTTGTGGAAATAGCATATTATTCACTAAATAGCACCATTTCTTACTGCGGCGAAGCCTAAGTTTTGTAACACAATATCATAATGCTTTTACAGGTATTCTGAACTCTGTGAAGAAGATTGAAATATTTAAACTGAATTTATTGCGAACAGAAACAGCAATAGACTTGTTAAAAAAAGAAAATGAAAAGGTAAACTAGAGAAATATAGTTTATATATTGTAATGGTTGTAACGCTATGAGTGAGAGTGAAAACTTAATCGATTTTTATAGCCAGAAATTTTAAGCAAATATTTTTTATTTTTTGTGTTAGATAATATGTTTTTAATTCTTTTTACAGTAATTGTATACATATATTCAGTAGTTATGATCTATCAATAAATTGCACAAAAATATAATATTTTCACATTACCATAATACTATCATTAACATACACTGTAAAAAATACCCATTATTGCTTCGTAATTTTTCCGTATATTTAACAGTTAGTCAAACTAATCACTAATGAATTAAAACCGTTTAGTTTCTGCTATGCAGTTTTGAGTTCCATTATATAAATTTACATTTTTTTATTCATTTTACGATTATTTTCTATGTTAGATCTTACATTTTAGCAAATAGTTTATAATTTTAAACGTTATGTAAATAAAACTGGGATTCAACTCCATTGTGAAATTGATACACTATAGAAGCAAAATTCTCTCTATGATAACTTCTTCATAATAATGCACGTAGTTAAGGGCACAAAGCACGAGCCTCCAAATGAAGTGACGGAGATTTTAATCCCAACAATGATTTGTTGATACAAACTCTGCTGACATAAAATATTTATCTCAGGTGTGAGTACAGATTTACTTTATACCTTTTACTGAGAAATATTATTTCCATATGGTGAAAGTCTGAGACAAAGATTCATTTTCTTGAAATTATTATTTGTCACAGTATATTTCACTGTTTTTATCTGTAGATATTTTTTTATAGACTGTAGAAAATCGCTTATTATTATAGTTCAATATTTAACTCATCAACTAATGTAATAAAGTTTTTTTAATATAAAGTCTTACAATTGTACATCACAAACTCTTAAATATATTTTTACACAGAAAGCATGCTTTGAAAACTTTTTATTACTCACTCATAATATTACAATCTATTATTATCATTACTATTATTTTTATTATTCCTCTATTTAAATAAGAAATATCTTTACAAAAAGTAATTTCTAAAGCACGAGGATCTAAAATATATAATGACATATTATAAAATTGTATGATAAACCATATGAAACTTAAAATAAAATTCAAAAATTTAGCTAATTTTCATTAAAACAAATTTTCTTCGTAAATTATAAAACTCAAATATGCTATATAATTAGTGCAGACGATATTTTAAGTTAAGAAATCAGACGCAAAACCGTACTTTCCCTGAATAATCATACCTTTTTTACAATGAATTTAGATTTCCGACCCCGGAAATATAGAAGCTAGCAGCAATCTAGAAAATATAATTCTAATAGTTTGATCAGGAAAGAGGTCCGAAGTTCCAATTAACCTTAATGTTAATTTTAGTTTTTATGTATTTCGTCATATCTTGATGATTTTTTAACGAACTGAAAAATTTTTGTACACAATTACGAAATTCTTTTACTCAAAGATTATGAAAAAAATTTTGGTAAATATTTATTATTTTTGTTTATTATTATGTTTAATAATAGTCAAAAAATTTTAAATTGTAAGGTATACAATTTTTACATAATTTTAAAGTATTTAATTTTACATCTCAAAATTCAAAACTGGAGCAAAATCGGTCGAATAGTTTCTGAGAAGTCATATTTTGAAAAAGTCGTATTTTTAACAAATTTGAGGTCGTCTCCTCGGGCCATTAAGATAGAGTCCCTAGACTTGAAGATCATTGGATCGAACGTTATTCAGGGTGGTCCTTTTTTCAGTTTTGATCATTTTAGTTTATTAATATTTACTTCATTAATAATTCATTTTATTTGTACGTATTTATTTGTTACTCATTTTATTATGTGTGTAACTGAATACGATAGGTAGTTTCAACAATTCTTGCCTTTTGAAATTTCATAAATACGTCTTCAGGACTACAAATGAGATAGAATGACCTTATGAAATTATAACTTTTCTGGGAATAACCCACACAAAAGTTCTTTTTAATTGTCTTTGTATGACATCTAGTTTTGTGAATGGTGTTTAATGTTTATTTAATTTTTTTTTTTACTTTACCCCATGCAAAAGGGGTATTATGTTCCAAAACCACTTCTAACCTACTAATCAGATTATTAAATAAAAAGATATAAGCTCATGACGTGTTAAATTTAAGTAATGTTCTTTTCTCATTGGCAAAATGTGTGCAGTTTTGGGTTTGATGGCGTGCTCACCTTATTTGGACATCATCACACTTTTCAACTGTGCTCAAGAATAATAGTAAACAGTGCGCATGCGTCGTCAATGCTTGCGTTGCTATGGTGACCGCTGCTGTTTGATAACTTTTTTTAGAATTACTTTTTTCACTTTTAATTTTGTTATGCATTAAGTTGGGAAGTTTATTTTCGCGATATGGGATCAGAGAGATCCTACAAATAGTTCTTGAGTTGTGAATAAAAGAGAATTTCATCATTTGAACGATATTTTTGTTTTTATTGTTTTAATTAAGAATCTGGAATTCTAACACACAATTCAAACTGGATCGTTTTCAATACTAATTCAGGTGAATAGCACAAATAAAGAGGGTTCCAAGGCGATTAACAGGCTCCCAAAGGTTAGAGTTGAAGCAGGAAAAAGTTTTTGACAACAACCATTGTGCCAATGGGTAATCTGTGATCTGAAAAATTTTTAAATTTTCCATATAGAATTTTAGCTTTGAGTATATTGATCATTTTCCCATTTCACTGAAAGCAGAATATTGTTAATTTGTTTGTGAATAAGTGAATTAGTGAATAAGTGAAGAATAATTTTTTTTTCTTCCCAGAATGGAAAATTCAATACAAAAGTTGTTTACATATACGATTTCGACCAGCTGACATTCTCTATGGCCACTAACAAAACAGGTAAGTTTAGAACAAACAAATAAAATTGAAGAATTTTGTTTGATATTTAACTGAAATTTTGCCAACTGCTCATTAATGTGCAATGAAATGAATCACATATTTCAAATCACAATATTTTCAAATTTATCAATATTTTTGAGTCCATAAATTCAAATTTCGAAATAGTTTCTTTCTATTCTTTTGTTTGCATATATGTTATTGATTTATAAATTGAAAAAAGTGCAAGTATTTATTTTCAATACAGCAAACATTGCCGAAAACGTTCATAAGTAGAGAATTTTGCATTTCAGAATTATGAAGTGTTCCTTGCATTCAAAATTACATTTTACTAATTTTAAAAACAAAATTGGCATTTATTAAAATATTGTTTTAATTCAGATTTTACTCATAAACAAATTTTCATTTTTTTTTAGTTGTTGAAATGTTAATAACTTGGGTAACCATGTACCAAGACAACTATCCTGAGCGAATCAAAGCAATTTACGTCATCAATGGTAAGAAAGATCTCAAGTAATACCAATTATTGCTACTTTTAATATAGTTTAAAGCTATTAATTTATGAAAATAAATAAGTTATTTACAAGAAAATAAATTCAAATAAATAAGTAACGCAAATGAGGTATTTTTTTCCTGATTGTCAATTAAATTTCGGATTCAATTTCTCTTTTTGCTTTAGGAAAAACCAATTTACTTAAAGATACTCAAATTACTTTAAATTACTATGGTTTTAAAACGAATCAATTTCAATTTGCATATTTGATGATGAAAAAAATATAATAAAATATTGATTTTAAATATGCTTAATAATTAGTGATAATTGATAAGTTGCAAAATCAGGCACAGAAACGTATTTTTTTCTTAATAAACATTTCATACCTTTTTTTCGATGAATTTGGATTTTTAACACTGAAAATAGGGTTGGTAGCCGTAATCCAGAAAATAAGGTCAAAGCTTGGACACCTTAACGTTAATTTCACTTTGTATGCATAGCTAATAAAATAATGTATCACCATTTCTGGATGAAAATCACCATTTCTGAAGGATTTTTAAACGTATGGAAGTGATTCTATGCAAAAATAAGGTTCCAATAATGCCAAAAATAACTGCAGAAAATAGCTGCATAAATAAAAAGTATTTAATAAAAAATAACTGCAAAAAATATTTTTATTAAATACTTATTATTTTTTCTTATTTATTTAATAATAGTTGAATTAATTTTTAACTGTAAAGTATAGAACTTTTTACATCATTTAAAAGATTTTTAAAAAATTTAATTTTATTTTTTGTGCAAATTTGATAATTTTCCTTATAAAATTACTCTATTTAAAACGATGCAAAAAATTATGTACCTTACAGTAAAAATTTAAATCAATTATTATTAAAAATACTATTTTGTTAGGATTCCGAGGTACAATTTAGAAATTTTTAATAATATATAACTTGATAACTACACTTTAAAATATATGAAATAAATTATGGTACTTTGGGGTTGACCGGATGCTAAGAATTTCTACTATTTTTGATTTATTTGCTTATTTTTATTTTATTTAATTTGCATGTGTTTAAAAATAAACGAATAAATAATAAATGTTGGCGGCGTTTTACATTTTTGACAGTTCTATATTTTGCTCAAGATAAACCAAAAGTACCTAAATTTTGTTTATTATGTTCTAACCTTAAAAACTATCTGTAAAAAGGATTTACTCCGATAAGGATTTACCCCGAGTAAATCCGATCATCAACTTTTAACATAATTCATGAAAGTATGAAAGTGTACCTAAACTTATTTGATAATAAATAAGACTGTATATAATTAAGTAATATCTACATATTTACTTTTACAGCACAATTTTACTTTACCTTACTTTTTTCTGCCTTGAAATTCTTTGTGGCTTCTGCTGTTTTGAAGAAAGTTTATTTTTATGGAACAGGTAAGTTTAGCAAGAATAGAAACTTGTCTATTCTCATTGCATAATCTCTGAAAAACAGTTTTAAAAAAAAACAATATGAAAATCACATCACAATTCTAAATTCCTTAATTTCTGCATCATCAACATCAAACACTTTGTAACATATAATTACAGTTATTTATCAAATCGTAAGCTATTTTTTTTTAAATTTATATTCTACACTGCAGAGTGATTCTTAAGGAAGTATACAATTCCAATCCAATTCTAATACATCAAAAACAAGTTAAGATATTAGATGGAACCTGCAAGAGAATTGTTTGGGATTATTTTAAGTTTTATTAGGGATGTTCTATTTTTGACCCCTTAGTCGCACGACCATAATCGATGATCTATTTCCACCCAAGCACATGTCAAGGTATCTGGATTAAATCCATTGATGGCGGCTTTGATGCGCTGTTTCAGTTCCGCTAGATAATATTGCCCTAATTTACCCCTACAAGAAGAAATCCCAAGAGGTAACGTCAGGGTTTGTGGGTGCTCATTGGGTAAATGACAAGGCTGTAGTTTACGTCTCCATTGGTAATTGAGATATTCATCCCGGTGGAGATGTTCGCGCAGGTCAATCAGTGTGGTGGTGCGCCGTCCAACTGGAAAATAAAGATGTCGATGTCGAACTACTACTACTGTAGCATCAGTTAAAGAGTAAACTTATCCGAAAAAAGTGGCTTTCTTGACAGTTTGTTTATGAAAAATAGGGGGCCGAACATGGTCCTTCTGGACACTGCAATAAACACATTAACCTTAAGGAAATCTCACTCTTGTTACTCTGGGAATTCGGATTCTCGTGAGTCCAACTAATGTGTCCAACTAAGTTGCCACACTAAAAACATCTACGACTGTCCACGTCTTTAACGGAATCCCATACAATTCTGTTGCAGATAATATAATAATATCCTGCATTGTTCTTTATTTAGAGTGAATTGAAACTGCATATGGAAATTTTGTAATCTATCATAATCAGCAGTAAACGAAATTTCAAGGAAAAATAGTGTTTGTTGATAATGATATTTAATATACAGGGTGTTCCAAAATTCTCTTTACAACTTCAAAAATTCATAACTTCGAAAATAAACAAGATATTTATATTCTGTCTTTTGCATGTATTACTGCAACTAATAAAGTTTCGTTTAGTACACTTCAACATGCGCACCATTGGTGGCCCTAAGCACTTCCAGTCTGTAATCAATTTCAAGCCAGGTGATGTAAAGATAATTTTGGAACACCCTGTACTTTTATTTCATTCATGATATTTTTGACAACAGTGGTGTTTTTGACAACAATGATATTTTTACTGCATTTTAAATTAAAAAATTGCGCAATTATTTTTTTAAAAAATTTTTTTCGACAATTGTTTCATTAAGTTTGCTAGAATAATGTTGCAGCATTCAGTTCAGTAAGTCATCTCATTCAGTTAATAAATTAACATATAACAATTTCTAAACATTTTTATTGAATTTCAAATTTTTTAATTCAGATAAGAAAAATGCTCCAAAAGCATGAAAATTTTCACTAGCAATATTCGTCGATCCACAAAAAATTAAGTGAAAACGAAAAAAAACTTTCCTTCAAAGTCAAATTCTGGTTATTTCAAATTTTTTAAAGTAATTAATCTTATAGCATTTCCTTCCAACAAGTGGTTATAATAATAAGAAAAAAACTTACAAAATTATATATTAAGTAAAGAAAAAGTTAAGAATTTTATATAAAATTGTATAATAAGTAAATGTTATTTTATGAAATTTATTTTGTTACAGAGGGTTGGAAAGAGGACTTACAAGAAATAATTTCTCCAGAAATATTGCCTGCATTCCTTGGAGGAAAACGAACCGACCCCGATGGTAACCCCCTTTGCAAAAGTTTCGTAAGTAAATCGATTGTATTCTTTGGAACCTCAAAATCCCCATAATATTAATTTCTTTGGAATATGGGGAGGGACATTAGGGAAACGGAGAAGAAGCCAGAGTTAAGGCAAGAAGCATATTGGGCCCATGAAGGTAAAATTGTGATAATTATAAATTAACTAGCGTAACTTTCATTACCATATATAAAGAAATATTTTCAAAAACTAAAAAACAATTTTGCTTAAATCAAATTATGTGATATAAGTGGGCTTCAAACACACAAATAATGTAATTTCACAAGCATGATATGGTATAAAATATCTAACTTTCAACTGGTGATTAATGTTCTACATTATTTAAGTGCCTTTAAGTAATTATTTTGTTCAGGAGAAATTGATTACACATGCAAATATTCTGTGAGTTATTAAGAAGCTATAATTATGAAGTAATATATAAAATAGTCTAGCATCATACTTATTATAGCATAGAACTGCGCGAAATAGACAAGCATCATATCTGTTATGGCATAGAACTGCATGAAATAGTCAAGCATCATATCTGCTGCTGTTGCATAGAATTACATAAAATAATCGATAATCATATTTGTTATAGCATAGCATTTGACAAAATAGTAAAACATTATATCTATTATCGCACAGAACTGCATAGAATAGACAAATATCATATATGTTATAACGTCGAGTTGAGGTGTAAGTGCCTCAAACAGCTTCTTTTTTTTTTACCTATGAAAATCGAAAACATAAGACGTTGGACTTGAAACTGGGTTACCCAAAATTATATGGCTGGGATATACTTTTAAAAAACATCAACGTAATAGCTAATGCAAGCATATAATTAATATGTATAATATTAACATATTAGAAATATAATCAAACATTTATGTAAAATATAGTTGTGGAGGTAAAAACTTCATTAATAGCTTCAGATTTCAAGTAAAAATGTAGACGCGTTTCACGCGCTCAAAACATGGCGCTCGTTACCAAGACCCACCGACAAAAGCATAAGAAAAAATAGATTTGAAAATAGAAACGCAAAATTTCGAATGGGAAACTTTACGTCCTTTGGCTGTGATGAAAACCTATTTATAAGACAACTTCGAAACACAACCTGGACGATACGAACAGAGAGAATCATCTGACTTTCTCACATAACGTGTAGGCATACAGCTTCAGCAGCAGCTCTATTATTATACTCCTTGTAATTAAAATTTTCATCTCAAGATCACATTTTCTACCTTCTTCAACTTGGCAACGATGTGACAGCCAGCAACGCTACTCTTTTTATTCACACGGCAGTTAAGGAGAGTTTTTAACTCATAACTGAAACTTGATTATTATAATAATAACACACTGATGTGGGGAAAATTGAGATTTGAGGATGTCATGGTAACGGAGAGGGAAATCACATAACCTTGAAACGACTATTATATTTACAAAGACAGTAATATCTTCGAGAGCCGCGATGACTCAGGGGACAGAGCGTTCGCCTTCCAATTAGGCAAACCGGGTTCGAATCCCAGTCGATACGAATTCCGCCTCCTGCTTGCACCTGCCACAGTGCTGACGTGAAGTATCCTCAGTGGTAGACGGATCATGGGTTACAGTCCCCTTGCCATCGGGCTAACCGTGGGAGGTTCTCGCGGTCTTCCTCTCCATGTAACACAAATGCGGGTTAGCTCCATCAAAAAGTCCTCCACGAAGGCAATTTCTCCCGATACTCGATCCACGAATTCCCTTGTTTTCTGGATTGGGTTTAAAATTACAAGGCTACGGAGTTGAACATTAGTAGTCGTAAACCCATAAAATTGGGTCGGCAGTTCAACGACGGTTATAAAATATAAAATTATAAAATAAAATAATATCTTGGATGAAAGAAAAGAGAAGCAAAAAAAAAAAAAAAAAAAAAANAAAAAAAAAAAAAAAAAAAAAAAAAAAAAAAAAAAAAAAAAAAAAAAAAAAAAAAAAACGAAACTTGGTAGCCGAGAGATACGACGGAGTCTTAAAGGGACAAATCAGAGCAGAATACAATATCCAAGTAGAACAAAATAATATTATTTGCTTCATACATGTAGAATAGTTTAACGGAATTATGTTTGAATCCTTAACACTATTATGCTTTATCTCGAACTGAACTGTAAAAACAACAAAAACTACGCGTGATAAAATAAATAAAGCTTAATATTTAATGAATTTAAAATAAAGTAGGCTATCTTATTAAAAAAATAATCATATCGCTCATTGCTCTGAGTAATATACAAGTTAATTTTGATGAATTAAATTGAACATTGTTATGAGATATTAACAAAGTGGTTGCACTTTTCATGGATCAAACATATTTCTTATAATTATTTGAACAATAATTTATTTCAACAGATAGTTCATGGACAAACAGTACCTGAGCGTTATTATCTTTCTAATTTGCGGAGGAGCATCCAGACAGAGCCCGGTGTGAAAACGCTGCACGTGACCAGAAATAAAAGTTGCAGTGTTGAATTCCAAGTTGATGAATCTGGTTCGTATTTGGAATGGGAATTCGAAACCAAGAGCAAAGACATAGGATTCGCTGTTTATTTCAAGGATGAACGAAGGAATGATGCCGAATTAAAAGAAATTGTGCCCAAACTAAGAATCTGTACCTTATTTGAACCCGAAACTGGTATCTACAAATGTGAAAGAACAGGATCGTGTAAGTAATGTTAGAAACTTCTAAAATGGAATCACAAATCTTAACTTGGGTTGTAATTTACTTTTATACTATGCTTAAGAATGCCATAAATAAGAAGAATCTCGACTGTTCTAGTATTTTTTATTTATTAACCGTTTGAGTGTGGCGAGTGCCAAAAATGCGCTATTAGCGCTTCTCTTGTTTTGCACCGAAAATGCGGAGACGCTGCTGTTGGTTAGTATAGGTTGGTTAGTAGTTGGTTGGTTGTAGTTAGTAGTGGGCTAGTAGTGTTGTACGCATTTCTTTCCGCACTATTAGCATATATATAAGAAAACTCTTCAGCACTCAAACGGTTAACTAAACACTTGTACTTTTATGAAAATGTATTAAGTGTAGACATCAAGATTGATTTCGTACTATTTCTACAATAAAATTTCGAACAATTCAAAAACAAAAACTTAACTTCGGCATTTTCCACTCAATTTGTTATTTAAATAAATCGGTATCCTATTGAGTTAATTTGAATTATGGTTTATCTTTAGGTGAGTTGTATAAGAACCAAAATAAGAAGCTACAAATTTATTGGCAACTACTATGCCCCAGAGTGGTGTGGCGGAACACCAAAAAATACTCTTGGTTGTTGGTGGTTCTCTACACCAAAAGTCAAGTATTAAACATAAACAAGGATTAGCATAAAGAAAAATCAAGAATGTTTATTTACATTACATGGTGTAAAGCAACTGCCAACATTTTTGGTATTTAATAATGCTAAAGTTGATAATATCGGTAAGATATTATACACATAAGAGTTAGTAAATTTATTTTTACGATACAATATAAAATTAGAATTATTGATTTAAGATGCATGCATACGTTCTGAAAATACGATTTTGTTAATCTAACATACACACAGTGCACATAGATTATTAAAACTAATTCAATTTTGGTGCTGAACTGCCCCAAAAATTATGTGAATGAGCACTATACCAAATAAAGTGTTTTTATAATGATGAAAAATGCTTACCCAGAACTCACTCGTTCAGACCATTCATGAATGATTATCTTTGAAAACACCTAAGTCGGAGCACGTTTAAATACCGTTCGAGGGCAACGGGGCTTATTTATTATCGAGATCGACGTGTTGGGAATTTATTATCTTATACACTATTATATGCGTCTACTTACAGAAAAAGAAATTCTTGTAAAATTACCATACTTAATAGCAATGACATTTCTAGTTAAAAAAAAATAAAGGACCAAAAAGAAACATTCCGGTTAATATAGCTCAAATATACGGTGTTTAAATTTAAACCAATCATATGGTAATTTTTTACTTTATTAGGTAACGTTTATTGGAAGTTCCCGGTTTCAAAATTATCGTTGTTATTGCCACATGTTTAGTAAATATTTCAAAGCTGAGAAGTAATGGTTGCAGTGCCATGATCTAAGACATCATGAAAAAATTAACCAAATTTAATCACATATAAAAAATTTTATCGTATCTAATAAAACTTTTTTTTATTGTATTTTCGATAAAGTATGCTTTTAAAGAGTGCTTTTAAAGTATTTTCGATAAAACTACCAAGCATTTAGGTGTTCCCTTGGAGATAGAAAACCGATAAATGTTATAATATTCTAGTAGTTTTGACTACACTTTTTTTCTCTAAGCAGAAGCAAAAGTTCTCTGTAACAAAATGCGTGTTTTTTTATCAGTTCTCCAATTAGTATTATTATATTTTAATATTTAAATATCTGTTAATTGTATACTTTAATAATTTTTAATTTGTAATTCCTTCTGCTTTGTTTAAACCTATAGGTAAATTTGTCATAGGTTTGCAATAAATACCATAGGATATCTCTATGGGATTTTGATAGAGGGAAAATTTTACCATAACATATGGAAAATTTTTGCCATGAGAGCATGTAGAAAAACATATAGATAAGAATATAAAAAAATTTTGCCAATGCATGAAAAATTCTTACCATATGCGTATGTGGCAATACGTATGTGGCAAAAATATATAATGAAATTTAACCGTATGAAAAACCACATTGGGATATCATATGGTCTTTTTTTATCTAGCAAATTTTTGCCATAAAACTATGGTGCGCTATAGCCTGGGATTAAATTTGTTCTCAGACTATGGCAGCATTTCTGCACAGTATTAAGCAATTTTATCGTACAAATCTATACAAAGTACGTACAAATATTCGTAAGTACAAAGTACTATGGTACAAATTTTATCGGCAAATTTATACAAAGACAATCATAAACAAGGATCATTAAATTACCGTGAGCTTTTAGAGTTTTTCATAAAAACAATTATGCTACAAGAATGATTATAATAAGATAGATTAAAGTGAGATAATTAAAGTGAGTAAGTAATTAAACCTATGACAAAATACAATATAATTAAGTTAGAATGCGAAGGATCATTTCCGGACAATACCCAGATAATTCAAATCTTTACGGCAAAAATTAATTAGAAAACAATAAAGATATTTGAGTTACTAAAAAAAAATTGGAATGGACTTAAAGATTTGTTGATTCTCCATCATTCATGAATTAAAAATTAATCACAACATCAAATACAAAATTAATCACAACAACATCGTAGAAGGGCACAAAATATAAAATTTGATATTAGCGAAATTGTACACAACATTATTGTTGCGGCGGTTCTGGATTCTTCCAAAATCATTTGAATCCAGAATCAAGCTGTTCATAGTTAAAAAATTTAGAAAAAGTCTGTCGAAACTAGTAGGATATAGTTTGATTTTAAGAAGTTTAAAAATAAGTTTTGTCAGAAATTCGAAGAAAAAATAAAATAACAGAGTACAAAAATAAATTTCAAAAAATAGATAAATAAGAAAAAAAAGATGTTCTAAATTTTTTAGTCGAATATTATTCCGTCGATGAATTGACGTTACGCTTGCCTTGCCGTTGACTTGACGGCAATTAAAATTTTTGAAAAATGCTGTTTTTTCGTTGAAATATCGAAAATAATTCATGGATCGAAATAATAATTGGATAATCGAAGTTGCAGAGAAATACTCATGTCTCTTTCTGCAACCATGTCCTCTCTCTTGCATAAAAACACATGCGTATAGTAAACTAGCATAAGCCTATGGTGTCTGGTCATATGAATACCATACAAATTTTTACGATTGCCACAGGTTACCATAGACCACCAAGGGTGTGTTTATGGTAAATTTCTCTAAAGGCAAGTTCTCAGAGATACTATGCCACAAATTTTACTGTGCGATTGGTTAACTTTGACACTTTTTAGTATGTTTCGCAAATTTTCTCCGCAGTATTGTTCGAATTTCACCAATATTTTTGAAAGTGCCTTTCCAGCAGCATCTTCATGCCCTGAAGTTAAGCGTACAGATAGTTTATAATATTGAACGGGATTCAGTGATACAGCCACAAGAAACTAAACAATTTTTAACCTTGCTAATTTTTCCATATCTAGAGTCTAACCTTCTCATAACCACTAAAAATTTTATTCAACGATAATCCTTTTCTTTCCAGATCACCTGGTCTTTGACAACTCCTACAGTTGGATGTTTTCTAAAGAAATTTATTACAAAGCTTCAGTTCTACCACCAATAAAAACCGAAAGTGAAAGTGATTAAAGAAGCAGCTCATTTTGTTTTTCCCTTTTGAACTGAACATGATAGTGCATTAACTGCAGGCTGACAATTATTGAACTCAATGAAATTAAGCTTAAATGTCCTGAATGGCGCTTTTTTCCTTCTTTTTTTAAGAAAACCAAAGTGATATTTCACATGTAAACATCATTACAAATATTTCATTTTATTTTCTTACCAACTATGAACAGCTGACCAGATTTTGGGCTTACGATATACGAAGTTCAACTCTGTAGCTTTGTAATTTTTAACCTGATCCAGAAGACAAGAGAACTCCTGGATCAAGTATTGGGATAACTTTGCATTCGAAGAGGACTAACCCGCATTTGTCTCACACAGAGAGGGAAATCATTAAGATTCCCATGGTTAACCTGGAGACAAGGGGACTCTAGCCCATGATTCGTCTACCACTGAGGGTATTTTACGTCAGCACTGTGGTTCATGCGAGCCGAGTGTGGAATTTGCATCGAATAGTTATCGCTGGGAATCGAACCCGGTTTACCTCATTAGAAAGCGAATTTTCTATCCCCTGTGCCACTACGGTTCTGTCACTATAGATATTCTGATTTAGGTTATGACATTTTCGATACACCTGACATCATTGACTGTGATGTGGCGAAGACGAATAGCAAAATTCTGCTTGACCAGTGATGACCGCCTCCAATGATGACCTCTGAAGTGTCGGAACATCGATGCTATTGATAACCTCCTGAATTGCAGTTTTCAGCGCAGCAATGTTTGCAAAATACCGACAGCAATCGATTGCATGCGCATACTAATTCCCATTATGCCATGTGGCCAACCACGAAGTTAGAACATTATCACTCTAGCAGTTTCGAAGTTATGATGGTTTTATTTCATACAGTTCAATAATTGTCACCCTGCATGTTCTTGAAACAAACTTTCCGTCATTTGTATGTTCTAAATTGTTTGTAGGTTGAAGTTATAATTGCGTATTTCAATAGTTTTCTCTTCTCGTTATTGAAACACCTAGAGAAAATTAGGAAGAAAATAATACAAAACTATTATTTTCTCTTTTTAAAATTGCATATGAATTTTCGTTATTTTTTTTCTCATTCATCGTGTAAACATAATTAACTGCTTAATTAACATAAAAAGCGTATTCCGTGAAATCATTGTATAAAGCTCATATGAATAATTTGCAAACAAAAAAAATGGAAAAAGCATAGTCCATCAAAATTGCTGATAAATATTTCATCAAAATTTTGATCCTTCAAACAAATAACCATCATAAATTTTGACTCACATTCATTTGTGTTGTGTATATAATTGATTTTTGATGACTCAGGTAATTGCATTTCTTCGAAATTTATCAAAACTTCTTATCAGACGAAAGAAGAAATCATTAAAATAATATCGTGGTAAACTTCTTCAAATGATTTCTATGAGTAGCATGGATATATACATTGATTATCAATAACGATAAAAATATTGAAGATAATACTGTTTTTTTTACAAGCATACAATATATAAATGTATGTTTATACATTCTATCAAACGATAACAAATCTTCATTTCTATATTTTATGGTAATGAGCTCGTATTTTATTCTCTCCATCTTTTAAAGTGATTGAAAAGTTAAATTTTAATGCAAGTAGGTTTTTTTTTTAATTTAAATTCTTTTTTTCTGAAAAATAATGGTATTGTTCGGCACTAAAATTTTTCAAATGACCTAGCTATTTTACTTTCACAATATTACCATTTCAGCTTCTGTAGCATTCTATTTTTCTTCAAATTAAGTACATATTAAATCAGCAATCTTTAAATTTTTCTGAGATCGACACTGTTATTTTGAAATTAAAATCAGTGTTGCTTTTCTCGAACACTGTTTTGCCATAAGACTGTGTTAACAATTACTTTTTATTCGTTCAATATCGTTGTGAATAAATTATTTTTAAAAATCCAACTTGATTTGATACCCTTGAAAAAAAGATGTTCATTTAGCCGATAATGAAGTACCTGTTTTAATGTTTAAATGTTAATTTATTTTATATTATGCAAAAAAGCAAATAAAAATTAATAAAATTTATGTTTACTTGCATCTTTTATTTCGACAATGAAGTAAAAATTATTAAAATGCTTTATTTGTCTATTTTATTGCGATTGAACAATGAATATGGGGCCTACCGGCCTGCGTAGGGGGCAGGGAACTGTCCTTGCTTCAGAAAGGTCCTGGGTTCGAATCCCGGGCAAGGCATGGATGTTTCTTTCTCTCTCTGTGTGTTCTATGTCCTTTCTCCTTTGTGTGTGAATGTGACCCGCTCTATAAACGGGTTGTGGTTGTGTGAATGGCGTTGCAAAAGTCGAATTCCTGGCCATAGATGGCGCCACTGAAAAACAGGAAAAATCGCACCCCCCACTGCCTAAACAGTCATACTACAAAACGAAAAAAAAATGAATGTAGGATGTGCCCCTTTTGAACAAAAGCAAAACATCGTGAATAAAACAAAAATAATTGCACAAAACTGAAAGAGCTTTAGCTTTGGCTCTAAAAATAAGAACTATTTTCAGTGTCGAAACACAAAATGACAGAAGAAAGTACGAGAGAAACCAACACCACTGATTTATTTAGCGAATATCCTATCTCGTGGGTGTTAAAGAAATGCGTTGCTGTAACTAAAAATGTGGCGTAACTAATGGTGAAACGGGAATGAGCTTGAACAAAAAGTTTGTGCTTTATTCACTTTTTTTTTTTTTTTTTAAAAAACACATTAAAATGGACATACTATTTAATGAAGTAATGTCTATTTAAAATTATCAGTTTAATTCTCGTAGCTGGTAACCATGACGCTGGAAAGAACCATACAATAATATATGAACGCTTGAATAGTTAAGTTTATTTTAGGTTTTGCTGCTGTGTACCGAAAATCTCAAAATGACAGACAAATTTAAAAATTAATTTTAAAAAGAAATTTGCTGAGCTTTGTTTAGAAAATTGGTGGTTTCTTCCCAGTATGTTTCAAAAATAGTAACAATGTTCGCTAACAGGTGACGCTTTTAAATGAGAAAAATTATAAAACAAGGTTTACAAAAATAACCTGCATTTACGGCAACTACGTGGTGCAGTTTGAGGAATATATTAAGACTTCATTATATTTGGATAGTCCAGTTAAGCATCACAAGAATTATTGTTTTAAAAATTTAAAAGTCAGTAACGCCATCAGTTGACAAAATTTGTGACTAGTTTTAAAATTTTGTGAGGAAAACTCTAGCCTACAACGGAGGGAGCAGTACACTTATATCTCTTTCCGTTTATTATAAAAAAATTTTATTATTCTTATTTGCAAATTATTTTTCACTTCACGTGCAATCTTTGGGACACTCCGCATATGAGAAGGCATTAAACATACCAAGGGTTTAATGTAATTTAACTATAAAATTAACTAATTTAAAATTCAATGATAATTGGATCAATTTAAGATCATGTCTGCTGATTAAAGCGAACAAAATGACGATGCAATGATGATAAAGAATAAATAATTTTTATTTGCATCTTAGCACTGCCATTTTTTTCGAGATGTAAAAGTAATGGTGACATTATTTATTAAAGATTAATATTTATTAAAGAAAAAAATTAATATTTCAGATACTAAAAATTAAAGAGTATAAAATTTTATATAATTTGAGTACCTTTATTTATAAGCATTAGAATGTGTAGAAATTGCGGTAATTCTAAAACAATAGAAACTTCTGAAATCTAGGAATACCAAGAAAAATTGATAGTTAAGTAATTCTGAAGCAATCAGTACATCGATGTTTCTAATACAATATTTTGGATATTCTAAAAGCTTTCGGTATTCTGTTAATTTTAAAGCAATAATGAATCTTTCACGAATTTAAAAACTAATGGCACACTGACTGGTAATATTAAATCAATAGGTATTTTGGTAATTTAAAAAAACTAAAATAATATAAAAGAAATATATAAAAAAAAAATATAAAAAAATTTCTCTGGTGGTGACCATAACAAACTGAGTCAGACAAACCTCCGAATAATTTCATAATTTTAATTTAGTTTTTTCATAAATAATTTAGTTTGAGTCAAGTTTTCTGGGTGCATAAGTTCTTACGTAATATTCATTGCTTGTGAGTTAATTGATAGAATTTTTACCTTTAAAATTTTTCAGGTGACGAAGTAAATTTCATAATCTATTTCCTGCTCACCAAATGGTCTCAGCGTCTGAAGGAAAATGGTCCAATATTTATTTTTAATCATAAAATAATGTTATATTTATAATTGTCGCATGGATAATGTTATGATTAAAACAATTTCTAGTACATAAAAACAAATTCGATTTGTTTATTTATTTTTTAGATGTTTCGGATGAGCTCTTTTTTAACTTTCTTAACTTTTGCCCATGAATTTAATACAGGTCACAATTGTTACCTGCATTAAATTCATGGGCAAAAGTTTATCTTGCGATAAATAATTGCAATTATACGTTAATAATTGTTACGCTAATAACTGTTATTATATATATTTACATCAAGCTATTTAAACCACTATTTTGCTTATAAATTTAACGCAAAGCAACATATATACGATGCCTTACGGTCAACCTATAGCTTATACACGTCAAAAAAAACTATTTGTTTGTTTACAATAAAGAATGTTTAATAAACAGTTTATAAATGATTTTTCAGGAAAATATTAATACTTCGTTGAAAATGTGTCTTTGATGTTTTAGAATTGGATTTAATATATATTATTAGTTAAACATATTAGATCATTATTTCCCAGTTTTTGTTGGTATTTATTTTGCATCTTAAAAGTTCATTATTGTTATTAATAAACCACATAAGTAATAGTTTAATACTGGTAAAGTAGATGGCGCCACGAAAACTGCTAAATTTATTCTACATTATTTGGATTTTTCATATTGCCGTTTAGAGTAACCGGAGAGGATAAAATAAAAGGCACCACTCCACCTTTGAAAACGAATTCAAATTTTAAAAAAACCTCGCCTTCTTCTAAAGATGGTGCTATCTCTAGTGGCAAAGCTAAAAATAAAAGTTTTTCATTATTCCTTTCAAAAATAATACAAAACTTGCTTTTAATGCTATTCGCGATTCATTAAAAAGGCTTTAATTTGTTTTTATGGAAGAAGGGAGGAAATAGAACTTACTTTATAAAAAAAGAAAATTTTATAGTACAGTAAATGGTTATCTTAGATTTCAATGAGTCAAAAAAATTTATGGAACTATTAACTTTAGTAACTAGTAATGCCATCTATTGATGCTTATGTAAAGTAAATGTTCATCATTCACTTTCATTACAAATATCGAACTTATTTTGGTATTTTTAGAAAACACTTTGGAAAGTATACATCTAAGAGTATTCAGCCCAAATATTATTTACTTACATTTCAAATGAATGCTGAGATATGGAAAATGTCGAAAAAATTGTCGTGGCGCTCGCTAGTAGTTGAAGAAGGCGAAAAGGCCCAGATGTGCAGCAATGGCGCATTACTTTTTTTTTTTAAACCATTTCGGCTGGACGGGTTTATTTGAGAACAACATAAGCACCAATAAGCAACATAAAAATATTTCATATCGATTTGTTGTTTTATTATGCTGAAACTTAATCATAAATGTCTTATATTAGTTTATAAAAAGTAAATGAAGTAGTTTATAAAAGTAGTTTATATAAAACATATTCATATGATATTATCCTTGAAAAATGCATGTGAGACTCGTAAAAAATCTTGAAATTGTTTAATTTTGATTCGCTTTTTTTCATGCTTATAAACAATTAAAGTTTAGTAAGCACCAATTCAAGCCTTAATTAGTAATAATTTAATCTTGTTATACTAAACGGCGCCAAACGAATTTCATTCTTGGCAAAAACGAGGGCAAAAGTATGAATTAATTTAAGTATATCTACATTGCAAAAAAAAAAAAAAAAAAAAAAAAAAAAAAAAAAAAAAAAAAAAAAAAAAAAAAAAAANTTAAAAAAAAAAAAAAAAGAAAGAAAAAAAAAGAAAATCGAAACAAAAAATTTATCTTAATAATTGATTTCAATTCAATTGTTTCTAACAATAAAAATTTTGACTTATAGCGATTGACTTCTACTAATTTTAACTGTTTTCTTTAATTACTGACAACTTCAGAAATAAGAAATAACATTTTCAAGAAACTGAATTAAATGAGCGTAATTTTACAAAGGCTCATGTTGCGTCATCTGGTATGATTTATGACTAGTAATATCTAAACCTTGCAAACTTAGTCTGATAAATATTTTATTGCAATACTATGCACAGTGCGGGGAAAAAAACGGAACACCCTGAATAACTTTTTATTTAATGATCGGATCTTCACTTTCTAGAACTCAATCTTAATAAATTGAGGGTGTGACTTCAAATATTCTAATTATTTAATGCATATATATATATATATTGTTTATTATTAACTTATATTTTAATATTTTAAACTACGAAATCAGTTGGAAAACGTACTTTCTCTGAACAAATATAACTTTCTATCCACGGATTCGGATTTCAAACAAAATACGGCGGGTGTTAGCCTCGAGAACTTTTTAAGCGAATTAAAAAAAAGATTTTGCACACAATATATAAAATTCGTTTGTCGAAAGATGATTCCATACATAAAATATTTTTTTTTTATAAATATTCATTATTTTATTGAATAATAGTCGAAAACGCTTTGAACTGTAATATTTATAATTTCTTACATCAATTTAACGAATGGAATTTTAATGCAAAAATAAAAATTTTGAGCATTATCGATCCAATAGTTCCTGAGAAATCAAATTTTAAAAATACGACTTTTCTTAAATTCATACCCTTTTTTCGACGGATTATGAGATTATGATTCCTGACCTTCTAAATATAGGGGATAGTAGCAGACTGAAAAATAAGCACCCAATTGAATAAGGTCAAGAGAGTTTTGGTCGAAAAAATTTCAAATTGTAATGCATAAATTTTTTTTATCATTTTAAAGAATGTAATTTTATGTAGCAAAATAACGAAATCGGTCGAATAGTCAAATAACTGGGGAACTGTTTACACA